CAGGTTAGGATCAGTCAATCAGTAACACTTAGGTGCTCCAGAGAAACTCTCACCACAGGCTTCAGAATAATCTGGCACTGATGACTGGTTGAGGACTGGTTAAATAGAAGCTGAAGCAGGTGGATCAGATGAGCGGTGATGAGCAGTGGGCGAAGCTAAGCACGTGAGTGCAAGGGCGCAGATAGCGTGTACGTCAGGGGTGTTCTGACGTACACAGATTCGAATGACCCTCAATCCATCCCCCCCACTTTTATAAAAAAAAAAAAAAAAAACATACGGCGAAACTCACAGAAAATCAAAAAGCTTTTTCTAATTTACTGCTTTGCAACAACAACATAAAACAGTCAGATCATAGACGGGCAATCGTTTTGTTTAACTGCAGGCTGCCTGCGTCGTAGAGATTCTAATCTAAAAGTTATCCTGTCTCTGGCGTTTACGTCTCGAGCCTGGTTTCCATGGTTACTCAGACAGACAGTAGTGGCGGGACAGTTCCCAATTCCGGAGTCCGGACATCAACATGAGGCCAGCCAAACCGAAAAAACAGAAAACAATTGCATCCTTTTTTCGAAAAGCACCAACTATAAGTAAACTGTTCATTGTGGTATCATATCACCTTGCATTTTTTTGGTTGTCTGTTCGATGTCGCCATGGAAAAAAGAGTAGAGACGGTCAGTGAGAATAGCGTGAAGAGAGGTGCCAATGTCATAAGGCGGGAGGCAGGGGGAATTGACTGGCATTTATTTATTTATAATTAAATCGACTGTTCCGACTTTTTCTGGAGTTGTTGGGGGTCTTTCAGAAATGTGTAGGCTACAGTAGGCTACTTGAATCCGTATTTATGCCAAGCCAAATGGTTTAGGTTGTTACAGGTTGAATCATGAGAAAAACGAACTTCAAAGCTAGACAAATTCCACTACACAGGGGCGGATTTAGGAAATTTGGGGCCCTAGGCAAAGACAGGCATGGGGCCTTCTGAATTGAGAAGACAACATATAGAACAGACCCATTATACAGATACAGAAATTTAATAGAATAGAAATTTGAGGATGTCATGTATCTTCAAGTTTGTCTATGTCACTGTAACTCGGAGGAAAGAATCTCTCTCTCATATATATATATATATATATATATATATATATATTAGTGCTGTCAATCGATTAAATTTTTTTAATCGCAATTAATCGCATCAATACCTAAGTTAACTCGCGATTAATCGCATTTTAATCGCACATTTGTTTCCTGATTGAAAATCATTTAAATACTCTCGATGACATACAAAAAAATACATACAGGCTAGATTTGTGCCAATGTTCTTTTTTTTAAATGAGAACAGGTCACAGATACTGATTTATGCCATAGAAACATATGGCAAGAAGATGGGGAGGCATGTAGCAAAAAATAACAAATATGTAGCCAAAAAAAAGGCCCTGAAAACAGGCTGATGTAAAAGACAGTCTTTACAGTTAATACAGTCTTTTGAACAAAGACAAGCATTTTACCCTACTGCTATAAAATGCAGTAGAGTTAACATTAGATGTTAATTAACCAAGATAATAATGAACAATTTTCAATCAATACATCAAAATCAATAGACCGACATCACTAGATGGAGGTAGTCTATGCTCTAGAAAGTTACTTTTCAGCCTCTTAACAAAAATGAGAACACACACACAAGCACCCACCCACCCACACGCGCGATACTGACCTGTGGCGTACACAGACGGCAAGAGTGCCGTAGCAGATTCCATTTCACCTCAGTAATCTGTTTTCTCAGCGTATTTCAGGTTGCTACTAGTTACCAGAAACTCAACTTGTTTGTTGGTGGTGGGGCTTAAAGAAAAGGCACTAGCGTCACCCAGTGTATGAGCGTCTTTTTCCCTTGAGGAGCTCCGCTCTCGAAGCCTATGAGAAATGCATAGACTGGGGGACAATAGCCCCGCCTTCTCGCAGGCTGCAGCGGGATGTACTTGGAAAATTGTACCATAAAACCACATAGCGTTAATCTCACGTTAAAAAAATTATATATATATATATATGTGTGTGTGTGTGTGTATATATAAATAAATAAAAGGTGCATGTCACAGGAAAGACTAGTGATGTTACAAATATGACAATTGCTTAAATGACAGAACAGTAAATTATTTAATCTATAATTAACGTGGCCCTTAACATCCCCAGCTGTACACAGTAACACACATTAAAGCAATGTTAATACAAAGCTGTAAAGTAGAGTGAGACGTTGATAATAACTTCCTTATGTTTTTTGAATGTATAAATTTAATTATAAAGGACTAAAACACCTAAAACGTATGGGTGATTTTACAACATTTAAAAGCCTGAGATTTTACTGAAATTGGGGCTACTGGGGCTCACTGGCCTTAGATGTAATGAGCGAACTGGAAGTGCTGAATACATCGCTCCAAAAAAGCACCCAGACATTGGAGGGCATGGTCTCTGCAGTCTCAGTTGTCCAAGAGAGATTACGGGACAAAAGAAAGCCAGCCCACTTTGAGGCAGTCTTTAAGGAAGCAGTGGATATGGCTGAGAAGCTGTCTCTAGAGCCCATTGCTCTACCTCGAGCACATAGGCCCCCAAAGAGATATTCTGGGCCAGCACCTGCACACAGGCCAGAATCTGCTGTGGAGTACCACAAAGTGGAGTTCTACAGAGTCCTTGACAAAGTACACACAACTTTCTTCATTTGAGGCCATTTATTGTAAAGCCATGTAAAGTACTTATTTACAAATTTGTTTTTGTATATATGTAGGCTTTGCTGTTCGTGTTTCTGTGTGTTTACAGCCTGCACTTAAAGTCAGTCCATGTTTAAATAAAACTTTTTTTTTTTTCACACGTCATGTGGCATGTTTGGTGAGTACTTGGTACCAATACATGTTATTTTCTTGCAATGATGGGCAATTAAGATTGATGGGTTGTCATAGCTGAGTAATAGCCAGTAATAGTAACTGTCCCCCACAGTTTCAAAAACCTATCTGCGCCCCTGGGTGAGTGAAATTAGTCCTCAGCAGCAAGATCATGACAGTTATGTGTGATTTTCTGAGCCAGGGAGATTAGAGCTTGGGAGAACTCTTTGAAATTTCCTCTTTGACCTGTCTGCTGTATTTCTTGGTCTACATGATGCTGTTTATTCACCATTGTTCTTTAACTGGTCTCAAGGCTCAAGTAAATCCTTTAATTTTTTCATCTGCTTGACGTTGTGTTGTTCTTTCAAAAAATCAGTGTGGTTTTAATATGACAAAATCCTTTCCAAGGCAAATAAAGAACTTAAAAATGTTCACAATGGACACGCTTTATCTTAAAACATAGGAACATTGGCAGATCACTGACATTCCCAGCTTTTCAGACCCTTTATGGGGAATCATTTCATCTGTCTCTTGTATTATTTCAAGCAAGGGCTGCTTTCTTTTCATCAAATTCTCTAGAACTGTGGTGCTTCTCTAATTAAACCAATGTGCTGCTCACTGTACATTGCTACGCTTTGTTGCTGGCAGAATAATTGGCGGTATAAATTAGGGCCTAGTCATTGTCTTGCTGTCACACTGGCACACTTCACCACTCTCCAGGATTGTAAGAACACAGGATGAGTGGCTTTACCTGAGTAAAGGCTGCAGACAGTAATTTTTGAACAAATTAAGCTCCTCATTAACACACACTCTAGGTGTTAAACATCAGCAACTTTGATTTTGTTGTGAAGTTCTTCAGGTTTTTGGGGAGTTTTTATTTAATATTTAAATAACACATAAATAAGTTATTCACTTTCTTAATTATAGTGAGTTATCCTTTTGTTTACAATTTTAAGAACCAACAAATGTAAGGAACACATCTCATAAACGTTAGTTTAATATCCGCCAGCTGGGATGAAAAAAACAGTTTCTTGCTTTCTCTGTGTGGAACACATATCCTTGACCTTGAGGAAGAATACTGCTGTGATCATTGTCTCCTTTATTTCTGCTCGTCTAGCATTCTGTGAGAAAATGGGCTGCTGCTTCAAGAGGCAATAAGCAAAGCTTGCTGGGCTGAATATTAGCTGTTATTTGTTTGACCCTTTCAGACTGTGTAAGTGAGTGAGACACCCACAGAGAAGTAGTTTTTATTTTATGCTGTGCATCACACAAAAATTATTTCCACCATCAGTTTTGAACATTTTACTAGCAGAAAAAGAAAACACATGAAAAATAATTTCTCTTTATTTATTGCATTTTTTTACACACATATGAGACCCATATGCCTGGTTCCTGCAAAGTCTGAAATTGGGATTTAGCAAATTCCAGGACTGAATATAAATAGACAAAGAAGCTCTTTTACTAAAATTTGTTCCATTTCTCATTGTCTATCATTATTTTCTCCTTGCATCTCCAATTCCTTTTTTCGTTCATTCCTTTCTTCTTTTTGTGCTTTTGACTTTCCTGTAGACCGTCTTTGTGTCATTTTGTGTTATCTTTCTTGTTTCCTTTGTTTCTCAATTTCATCTGTACTTCTCTTAATCCTTGTGTCCCTCTGTTAAATGTTTCTTTTTAAATTACTCACATTTTTGAGATTTTTTTTCTTTTTTTCTTACAGATTATGATCCGATTTTTTATTACAATCAGATTTTGTAAAAACTTTCTGGATGGTAGGATTCATTCAAATTTAATAAAAACAGGTTTTAATATTTTTCACTACCTTTTTAGCAATTCAAATCAATGTTTTAAGGTTTTTTTTCACATACAGACACAGTTGGGGCACAAGGAGCAGTTAAAGATGTTTTTTTTTTTAGGCTATACACAGATATGAATAGCACACTACGTGAGCTGCAGACGAGGTTCAGAACGTCAGAGTTAGGAGCACGGCAGGAGAAAAGAGGAAACTGATTAACGCTAGAAGAGTAAGGGAGATCTGCGCCGATGCTGCTTCACTTACCGGCTTATAAGTACAGCTAACCTATCCAGGGAGGATGAGTGGAAGAAGGGATTCTACGGCTCACTGCTTTCCAATGGGAGAAGATGGCTGAGCAACAGGTGAGCTACTGGATGGAACATAGGCGGGAGCCCGACCAGCACCACAGCGGAGACAGGTTCGAGGAACAGCTTAAGGAACCAGAGTTAGCCAGGAAAGGGGGTCTCTTGTCTAGCTCGGTAACACCAAGGGGGATTGAGGGGAACGCCAGAGCAGAATCTGAGCAGCTAGGATTCAGGAAAAGTCCTTAGTGCATGGGAAGACGACGGGTGAGAAATCCAAGACACAACAAACTGAGAGAGACAGGAGAATAGAGTTAGAACTAGGAATCCATTGGTGCTGCTCCATTGTAGGCAGTCACGGTCTGGCGGCTTCTAACTGCTTGTTCGGTGAACAGCGGTTGTGGCCCCGCCGTTCAGCGATTAGCAGAGCTTGATTAGCTCTTCTCTATCTATGCTGCAGCAGGATTCAGGATACACTGTGTTCAACTTGGTTTGAATCGCAGGAAGAATGAAAACACTGCGTTCAGCTCCTTCTGAATCGCAGGAAAAAGGCAGTCTTACTCGGTCCAAAACCTACGCCTGAGGGGTGTGTCTTCAGAGGGGCGTACTTCCAGTTACATCAACGACAATGGATTGCAACACTCCTAGTCAAAAAAGGATGTCCACTAAGGATATAAAATATGAACTTGGGCTGTCCAGCATGGAGCTGGGTGCAGAATGTCACAGCTAAATAATGAACTGTTACCTAACAGAAATAAAATCTTTAAAATAGAGAGCTGAAGCTATTTTTTCAATATTTGGAAGTGTGCAGGTCTATCCAAACTGCTCTTCTACCATTGCATGTAAGCATCTCCCCAATACACTTAGTCTGATTTCTTTCTTTAAAGGCCTTTGTGTTTTTCTCTTAAACTTATAAGATGGCTTGCTTCTTGTGACTCTTATTCATTAAGAAGTATACTGTGTGAGCAGTGAAGCTACATTGAATGGTTAATTAACGAATGATTAATTAACACAATGCTCACTGGATACGTAAACACTAGAACTGCACATGAATAGAAAAAAAGAAAACAACCTATTACAACGATTGGCATGTAGGATAACCAACAGATAAGTTGAAAATACCCAAAAGCTCAAAACCAAAGTAGAAAAAGAAAGTTGTAGATCATTCAAAAAAAAGTAGTTGATTTTTTTTCTTGTCTAATTTTAAATTGAAAAATTTAAGAATAAACCATATCAACAGCAGTCATATTAAAATATATATAATTGTATATAATTACATAATATATTAACAAAAATGTAAGAGGTGTACCAAAATGTGAGAAACTGTATCTGTTTTTTTTTTTTACATCATCTAGTTATATCCATACATTTGTAAAAACTACATTGCAGCACTCATAGCCAAAAGTATATTTACTTGATAGATTAACGCACTTGTGCATCAGACTGTTCTAGTATTTTTCTATGTTGGAGACCTACTTACAACTTCATAAACAGCCCTTTATTTCCACCTCATATTCTGATTGCTGTTAAACTGAAATACGAGCCTGTCTAGACATTTGTAGTTGACTGTATAGTAACTAATCTAATCACATCTGTCGGCATGCACCTCACTTCTGGTAACATTACTAAGGCATATTTAGAAAAACACAATAAACATCTCTGTTCAAATTCACTTTACTATGTAAAAACAACTCCCAACAAAAGTCATTTCAGGGTAGATTTAAAAAGACAGCACAGTTACCAATTAGATTAAACCCATGTTATTCCAGTCAGCCCACTTCAGCACCTATATCCCAAATGGATTCCCAACAAAGGCAATATGACTTCTGCACAAACTGTGTCCAGTCATCATTAGATTATAAAACAGTTATGACCTGTGTACAGTTAAGTTTTGCATTAACTTCCCTGAGAAGATTCTTTTTTCTCCTACTTCACACCCACACACTAACCACTCTCTTATAATCTATTGCTTGAAAACATTAAAACTATCAAAATGAAACATTTTTGATAACTTTACCTGCATTTTTGGTAACTTCATGAAACATGAAGAACTTGTCATGTTACAGAGTAGTTGTGGACCAAAAATACAGACAGGGTGTCAAAAAAGATAAACACATTGTTACAGACATGGAGCAGAAAAAACAGAAGATTTCAGCAAATAAAAAATGAGCAACTAACTGTTTAAATATCAGGAAAGTTCCCCTTATTCACAAAGACTGTCATCCGTGCATGATGGAAAACCTCCCTACATCAACTGATCACGTCAATTTACAAGCATGGCAGAGCAAAACATATAAACCTATAAAACCAGATGAAGCCAGACAGGATGTCAGACACAGGAAAAGTGAAGTGGGTCCTGTACATATATAAAACTAATTGGCAATGCATGGATGGATCAAATACGATTTGCTGTATGGCATATTTTGCGAGCGATGACGAAGCTGACAAGAAACGTAGCCAGTGTGAAGCTGGCCTGAGTGGAAGCTAAGGTGAGCAGTTGAAGCAATCCTGCAAGAAATGAGCAACAACTGGGTAGAATTAAGGCAGTAAAATGAGGGAGAAGGATGTTAAATGGTAAATGGCTTGTATTTATATAGCACTTTTTCAAGTCAGGAGACATAACCAAAGCGCATTACACTACATTCAGTTATTCACCCATTCACTCACACACTGATGGTGGCAAGCTACACTGTAGACACAGCTGCTCTGGGGCTACCTGACAGAGTACACAGTACACTGGCATCACCGGGCCCTCTGACCACCATCAGCAGGCAATGCAGGTGAAGTGTCTTGCACAAGAATACAACAACCCTTAAAGCCGGAACCGGGACGCAAACCAACAACCCTCCGATTGCAGGCCCCACATCTGATAAAGGATAGTGGATATGTTAGAATCCATCAGGTCTACAGGTTCAGTTTTTGTCCTGTCACCGCCCCTCACTCAGCTGAAACTCTGTCACCTAGCAACTGTGATAGTTGATGCACAAAACTGGTACAACTGGATCCTAAATTTCTCACTACTCTACTGTGTGCTAATTTAATATTTGAGGAGCTTTAGCAGCAGTACTTTCGTCACAGATATCAGATTTGTAGTCCCCACACTGCACAGATTAAATGTCAGCAAAACCCATTTATACAAGGACCAAACATTATCTGCCACAAATATGTTTCAATAGCCATTTAAATTAACAGTTTTTTATTAATTTAAGACACGCCAATTGACATACTTCCATTTAATTGAACTACATTTGCATTTTTCACCACTGTTCTTCAGCATTTCCTTTTTAACCTCTGAGCATGGAAAAGCCGGTTTGCTTTGACCCACAATGAATCATGGGATACAGTAGTCCACGAAGGATACAACGGACGTATCATTAAAAGTGAGGCAAGGAGGGCTGCATTTGTCACAGCCCTCATTGGATTCAAACAGGACGAAGCCGTGCTATGACATAATTAGTCAATGAATGTGGCCTTCAGAGGATGCAGGGAAGAAATCTAAAAGAATAATATCAGATCGAATCAATAACCTGATCAACACTGAATTAAAAAAAAGGAGCAATAAAATAACCAGCAGAAACAAAATCTACAAACTGACAATAATAAACATAATATAATAAACTAATAAGACCTGCCACATAAAAAACAACAGTTCATGACCTAATCATATTAAAAGGAGAACAGTAAAAAATATAAAACCAAAAGGAACACCATAACCTGAACACCTTTGGATTGAGACAAAACTAAAATGTGTCAGATAGTTTGATGGATGGCTTACAATCAGAACAAAGAAGCATTCCACTCTCTATAGACTGGGCAAGGGAAAGTTCTCATTTTTTGGGCATTGTAGCAGTCCACTGCTACCCCTGCTGAAAATACTGCATTTGCTTTCAAAAGCCTGGAATATCAAGGCATCAGTGGTACCCTTGGTCATTGGGGCACTCGGTACAGTGACCCCGTACCTGGAGAGTGGTTACATCAGATCCCTGGAAATACACCAGACATAGAAGTGTGCAGTTCCTAGAACCCTCAGGCTCCCTGGCCTCCAAGCCAAGCTTGGAGGAAAAAAGTGGGAAGACCGATGGGTGAGGAAGAGTTTTTTATATATATGACTGGCTTTACTCCACATTCATATATATATATATATATATATATATATATATATATATATATATATATATATATATATATATATATATATATATATATATATGTATATATATATATATATATATATATATATATATATATAAATGTGGAGTGAGGCTAGTCATCGTGTTTCTGCTGGTACAGCAATACCGTTGCCATGGAGACTATCTAGATGGAGGGGCAACACTGACCAAGAGTTCACACCAATTCATTAGCTTAGGTGTCAAAAAAGACGTGATGCGTGCTTCTCTTTTTGAGCTCCTTCATCAGACAGAATATTATTGAATTGATATCTCCATATATGGGAATTATTAATTCCTTCTGTAACTTCTTTTTTCTTTTACATATTCCAAAAAGGTTAATTATCACTTGCTAGTTGCAAATGCATTTCAAAGGCAGTCTTGATTTGTTTCTTTTCCCTTTTCCTTTGATAAAATTTCTTAACAGACATCTAGTAACGTAGTTCATGTCTCATCTTCCACACCACACACAAAGAAGCTCATTCTCAAACTACCTAAGCCTTATTCTGTTAAGGTTTACACATTCAGGTAAATGGTATAGTCAGATGCATCAACCATACTGTAAGTAGCAACAAATCTGCTTATTGAAAAATGTTTTTTTAATGCATTTTCTCCACTCTGTAGGTCACTTCTGAAACATTAGATGCACTTTCCTTACTGATTGTTGTAATGCTGCAAAAACAGGAAGCTTAAATTCCATCCGTCACACAAATTAATGTCCTTTCAGAATAACAAACAGATTGTTGTGGGAGAAAAAGTGCATTACATACAGCTACAGTCGCTACACTAAATTTAAGTGCCCAGTAATGTGTTTTTTCAACAGCACATTTATAAGTGTCAGCATCAGAACAATCTAAATGAACAATTAGAGCAAACTCTTGTTGATCAAGCCCCATCAGCCACTGACAGCCATAATCTGTTTCAGGTAGAGACTGTTTCTGCAAGCTGTATACAGACCTTGCCATGCCCACCCACGCAGAAACAAATCACACTAAAATATACGAAGCACAATGTTACACATAAACAGTCATGAAAAAATACATATTAGGCCAACTTTGTTTTTATTGTGGTGCAT